AATAAACATATAATAGAACAAACAATAATTATTTGTAAACAACTTGGGCAATAATCTATTATTAGTTAAAAATGGAAAAACGTAACAAACACAAGTTAGTAGGGTGCATGTTTAAGTTATAGGCATAATTAAATTAAATGGATCAATTTTACATAAAGCCCGTAAACTTTTTATTTACTTATTTATTTCGCCTAGCCTTGGTGAACGTTGATCATCTCACAAACCCCTTTAGATCTTTAACATTTTCTCATTGGACCCTCCAATTGTAATTTGCAAATAACTAAAAATGTCCAAGAGAGAAAGAACAATTTCCATTTCTTTAAATTGTCATTTACAATTAGGGGGTGTTTGGTTCAATTTCTACAAATTATAATAAATGTTTTCCACCCAAAATATGATTTCCTTGTATTTCTTAAAAGAATTATAGGAAAAGTTTTGAGAAGTCAAAAAATACCAATTTTCTTTTTTTTTTTTACTTTGCTTGTTTGGTTCAAAACAAGAAAATGACCCATAGCTTTATAGAAAATAGCAAGATTTCCTATAAATTGTAGAAATTAAACCAAACAACACCCTAAATTTATAGAAAATTGTCAACTTTATAGAAAAGTGTCAATGTGATGTCAGATTTCTGGGTGATTTCCGTCCATTTTGAGAGAAAATTGATTTCTGTAAATTTTGGTATTTTTTGTACTTTACAGAAAACATTTCTGTAATTTTTTTGAACCAAACACAGTTTAAGAAAATCTAGAGAAATTTTTTAATTACAGAATTGCTATTGTTAGACATTTTGAGAAAAATTTTCTATAAAATTGTGCAACCAAACACCCCCTTAATGTAACCCTTCTCCTAAATTTTGGTTTTTTTCTCTCAAAGAAATTTCATTTAGGGTAACTTAACTTACACTAAACCCCTATAAAATTTTAGTATTTTGCAGTAAACACTTATGAACTTTTAAATCACACTAAACAAAGTAACTTTTCTATTTTACGTCAGGCCCCAAATATGTTTCTGTATTTTGCAGATAACCCCTATACACATTAGAATCCAAATGCATTTTGAAAGTTATTGGGGGTTTAGTGTAATTTATCCAAATTAAAAATATTGGGGTTTTC